TTATGCTATCACTTATCTATTTGTCCTGATCCCTCTATCCATTTCCTATTCTCTTGTCAGATCCCTCTTGGTCCGAGTCAGAGCAGCCAATCGAAAGAGGAGGTAGGATGAACGGCCGATGCGATGACATCACATTTAGCCCACCAAAAAAGGGCACACCTCTTTAAGAGTTGAAGTTGTGATAGAGTAAAAAGAATAGATAGATCGACCAGGACAGAAAGAGTAGTGATAGCACAATCTTTTCAGCAAAATGTTTGGTAAAAAGATTGACTTCAATTGTCACTTTTACGAGCGGTAGCTTGGTTCTGAGAATGGCAAGACCCACTGACCACGCCGATCATGATGCTGGCGAAATTTATATAAATCTATCAAGTCTATTGTTTAACTGAAGATATGAAGACCAAGATGTTGTGGCCTCTGGTATGGTTGCAGTCTCCTTTCGATTTATAGAAATGGGTTGACCTTGTTGTCGCAACTTGGTCCTGGTGCGGAGAATGGCAAAACTCACTGATGACGCCGACTACGATGCAGGTGAAAAGTTTGAGAATTTACCAAGTCCACTTTCTGATGCTGGGAATCATGACAACTAATATGGTAGACGACCTCAGACTAAGTGCGTCTGACAACAGGGCCAAGTTGCGACAACGAGGTCAACTCATTTCTATGCTTCAACGTTGAGATTTATGATGACTACTATAGCAGATGACTTCGGACAAAGTGAGATCAACTAAGTCTTCCTGACAACATTTATCACTTGAATTTTACCACCCAACCGGCAAGACGAACAAACTCTTAATCAACTGGTTGAGCTTATCCATTTTCACCTATTAATAGCATGACTCGCCTTGTTAAGGGTTGGGTCCTGTCCCAAGACTAGGACCATACTTAAGTACCACATTAGTCACAACCCGAAATGATGTTGTGCAGGCAATGTTTTTATACCAAACACATATGATTTTTATTCCAAGTTATGGTGGCGTTGCCCCTACTTTGGTCCTTGTTTCCATCCACTGTATTCATTTGTTTTAGTCTCGTTTATTTATCATGTCTTTAATTCAGGGGAACGTGTATGAACTTGTCTTGGACGAATTTATTTGGCATAGTGAACATGAGGACTACTAGAAAGGTCGGCAAAACTTTGTCTCCTCGATTGTTTGTAGCTCTCTGCTGAGAATGGCAAGTCTCACTGATGAAGCTGGCTACGATACCGGCGAAACTTCTGATAATGTACAAAGTCAAAGGTTTGAATCTGTAACTTGTTGTGACTGATATGGTATGGGAATTTGGGTAAGGTACTTCAAAAAAGTCACCTTGATGAGACAATCAAACTAAGCAAACGAGGTAAAACCAATTAAATATGACTTTTTAAAAAACTTTTTAGTTAGCTAGTATCAGGCGTTTTAGTGAGGTCTGCTTAAGAGTGAATTCTCTCTTTGTTGATTACGACCATATTTTGGGTGAGAGCTCAGTACATATGACTTGAGTTGAAAGTATGGTGTCCTAAAAACTGGCCTCCTCAAGACGGATGGCGTCTCAAGTGACTTGGAGTGTACTCATGACGAATTGTCTCGGTTTAACGACGCCAAAATTCTCTTCACTGCAAATAATGGAAAGCCATGTCAAGGGATTCTTTTAAAATCAGTTCCAATGAAAGTAGAGGGTTCTGGACAGTTAAGCCAAATTCCTACTGGACTGAAGAGGAAATAAGGATACATACAGGAATGCCGTCTTGCGAATTTCTGCTGAACATTCTCCTATAATAGACTCATCTCCAATGATAAAATAGATTCACACTTTCTATAAATGGCCCCAAAACAAAGAATTTCTGTCATCGTTGACTATAGGAAACTCAACAGGCCAATTCAAAACTGGCAGTCTGCTGTTTTGAAGATGTTCAAACGTAAAATATGTCGAATTGAAGATATGAAGACCAAGATGGCGTAGCCTCTGGTATGGTCACATTCCCTTTTCGATGTATAGAAGTGGGTTGACCTCGTTGTCGCAACTTGGTCTTGTTGTTAGGGCGATTTAGTAGAACTCACCTAGTCCAAAGTCGTCTGCCATAGTAGTTGTTATAATTCCCAGCATCAGACAGTGGACTTGGTACATTCTCAAACGAATGGCAAAACTCACTGATAAGGCCGACTGCGATGCCGGCGAAACGTTTGAGAATGTACCAAGTCCACTGTCTGATGCTGGGAATTATGACAACTACTATTGCAGACGACTTCGGGCTAGGTGCGTTCTACTAATTCACCCTAACAACAAGACCACGTTGCGACGAGGTAAATTCACTTCTGTAAAATATGTCGGCCATTCAGTTGTCTACTCAAGGGCATTCTGCTGTTGGCTCTTAATTCGGTAACTAGTTTAAGGAAATTCGGCTGTCTAGAATGCAATAAAGTCAACTAAAATTTACTCGAGAAAATTCTATCGATAAAGTAATCTGTTTTCAATAAAAATGCGGGTCTAAAACTCAAGCGATGATGAGGGGCTAAAGTGAGAGGGTTTCTACAAACAGATCTCAAAGCTTATCATCGGATTCTGCAATCTTTCATTATAATACTTATTTCGCATAACTACACTGCATATCACATCGCCTCGGCTGTCAGGCTCCTCCCTAATCATTGTGTCCATATGTATACGACATTGTTATGTACACATGATTCTACACAATCTCTGCATTGCATTCTTTCGAGCTCAATCTTGCCAATGGGTCACAGATCGAGTCCCCTTCTTATAAAGTGTGTAGAAGACAGATCAAAATAAATTCATCTTAGCTTTGCATATCATCCAGGGTGGTTGTAACAATCTATTAGGGTGTGTAAAAAGGTGAAATCACATAAAAAACACGAGAATTCTAATAAATTAGTCGCCGGTAAATTCATTCTCAGCCCAATGCGCCTCGGTAACAATGTTCGCGAGTGTAAGAGGAAGCAGATGCTTCATGATTTGAAGAATAGGATTGGCAATATTTTGAAAGAAGAGATAAAGTCGGACGATAAAAAGCGAATTGCGACTCAGCAATTCAGGAATAAGGACTTGAGTTGCATACAAGCTGGCTTAAAGGACGAGTAAGGAACAGCATTTTACTTTTGCAATTATGCCAGTGAATTTTAACTTACATTGACTTTCGGACGACTTTTCCCTTGCTTGTTAATAGGACGGATTCGAATTTTATTTTGGGTGGTGATACCACTTGGAAAATCCAACTATCTATCCTTAGTTATGAAGGCCAAGATGGTGTGGCCTTTTGTGTGGTCGCAGTCTCCTTTCGTTGTATCGAGGTTGTTTGACCTTGTTTTCGCAACTCGGTCATATTGGTAAGAAGACCTAGAGGATCGCACCTAGTCCGGAGTCCATTGTCTTGTCTCTTAGACGAGTTGTTGTATGGTGCTAAGAATGTTGATATTCACTGACGATGCCGACTACGATGCCGACGAAACCTTTGGGAATGTATCACGTCCACAGTTCAACTTTGGAAATGATCATGCAGACAATGGACTCCGGACTAGGTGCGTTCGTCTAAGTCTTCCTACC